CCACAAGCCAGCTTAGCATACTCCCTTCACATGGTTCTTCTCCTTGACATCGACATCTGTAGTTAGTTATTCTGATAAGGGGGGGAAATAACCCTCTATACAGTGCAGTGAACAAAGAAAATATTGTATTATGTACAGTTAAAGACCTGGCAAAACAAAATGCAATGTTACAGTAGAATACTGCGTAAGTGACAATAAACTTTCTAAGTAAAATTACCATTCTGCATATCAGAATGGCAGAAGTATAAGAACAATGGCCATAACAACGAGGATAAATTGGATAGAAACAGGTGAAAAATGTACTGAAACCATAAAAGTGCACCAAACTTTCATAATTCTCCTCATGGCACCTGATTTGGTGAATACTTCCTGAAGAATTATTTTCTTGCTTTGAAAGCACTGAGAGATGCAACTATCAGGAGCTGGGCTTTTTATTAACACATCTGAAGAAAATGGAGTTGTAATGAAGTCAAAGTTAAGAGCTAACAACAAATTCACTAATGACCCTGTTAATGAATGTTTGCCAAAGTCTGGAGAAGACACAAACCTCAGACAAAATCTTGCATAAAACACAATGACAGCTTGCCTTGCAAGGTCTCCCAACTTGAGGCTTTAGGACATTTCTCCTTCATGAAGTAAGTCTAATTTAGATGGGTGATCTAACAAAGAAAAGTTCACTGATGAAAATGAATACTGGGTGGAAGCAGCTAAAGGAGTGAGATGGGAAAAAAATGTAAATAAAACTGAGTGGGGAGCCCTGCAGAATTATATAGAAAGACATAGCAAAAATAACTAATAATCTCTGAGAACATTGGTGAGAGGGATTTGAATACAAAAAGCAAAGATTATGTACTCTAGGTTACCCTGCTCTTGCAGGGGGGTTGGACTAGATGATCTTTTGAGGTCCCTTCCAACCCTTGGGATTCTGTGATTCTGTAGGGATACATAGAGTAAGGTTACAAAACCATATAATTTTCCTATGGTAAATTTACCACTGAACATCCTCTGCCCTAACAATAGTACAGTGGTTCATGGTAAATTTACCACAGAAAGACTATATTTTTGGTGACCTCAGCTCAAAGCTATCAATCTAGGAATAAGGGCAGCGTAAGCATTTTAGGAGAATTTTGTGTGCAACTTAAAAAAGCCAAGATGAATGTAAAGATAAGAAAGCATTCCTAAGAAGAGAAAGCTGGAAAGCCACAGAACAGCTGGCCAGAGATCTCCTTCAGCAGAAGAATCAAATATTGTTAAAACAGGACAGAAATTTCACAGGCATCTTCAAAGCAATTCTTGCTTCCTCAGATAAGAGGCTATTGGATATAGTAAGGCTATAGCTTGAACATCAATTAATCAGTCTAATACCATGTAGTAAAACATAGAAATACTGGCAAAGTGCCAACAAAGTAAAATTCATCACATTGCACAGAACCTTTCTTAAGCAGGTGGTGAATAGAGTGATCATAGAAAGTTCAGTTCTTTATCTTTCTGGTTTGAGCAGTACATACTATTTTGAGCACACTTAATGCGTGAACAGGACAATTTTTATAAATACAGTCCTCTATAATGGGCTCAGAACTCAGTCCAAATATAATCCAAAGTCCCAGTGGGGAAGAATAAGGAGTAATGCAATCAAAATCAACCCAGAGACTGGGATGATATATATGAATCACTATATGATTGTTCACACATCCTATATTCTCTATCAGACACATTCAGAACAGTTCAAATAACCTTTGGATGTGGACATCTCATAGAGTCTAACTAGGGATTTATCATAAGAATGCTTTTATTTGTTCCGTAATAAGGTGATAAAATACAGACTATGAGAATATGCATATAACCTACATCTAGAACCAAATTAGAGGGACAGTGAGTACTTCATGGGTTAGGATGATATTCAAAATTATTTTGATAAATTTTAGGATTGAACTGCAATGAATAGAGTAGCACAGTGTAAAGCAGAACAGTGAAAGACTGAAGCTGTTTGCACAAAGAGTAGTGGATTAAAAAGTGAGTAGAGGTTTAAATTACAATGTCGATACAAATCAAACTAACATCATTCTGGGACATACTAACAGAAGTGCAATATATATGGGCTGCAGGAAGTAGCAATGTCATTTTCCATGTCAGGAGAGAAACCTCAGCTGGATAATTGTGCTGTTTGGTATGCCATAGTTGAAGAAAGCTGTAGACAAACTGGAAAGAGGCCAAAAGCAAGAACCAAGTATAAGTGGGTTGAAAAACCTGACCGATGAAGAGAGATTGAAATGGTTTGTTTAGTCTAGAAAGTGAAAGATCAGTGGGAGACAGAACTGTCTGTAAATGTATAAAATGCCAGTAAGAACAGTGGGAAATTTCTTACGCAAATGATAAATGCTGTACTAAAACAGTGGGGGACTGAAACTGTAGGTGCAGATGTGAAATTTGGATTTAGCAAGATAGCATAAGATTAGAAGAACATTATCATTAGAACACAAATACAGAAATACTAAGGTAATGCATATTACTAATTTTATTATTTTTTAATCCAAATTCTCCAAGTTGGAGAAGGATGGCAATAGATAGATATTTATTGTGGTAGTACTAGCACTATATAATAGACATTTAGATTCAGTTATCCCTGAATGCGACCAGGGATTTATATCTCTAACCAGAATTATGCTAGTATGAAGGACTGGAGAATAAAACCATCATTCATAGGACATTGGTATTCTTCAAAATGTTGATCAACACCCTTTTTTCATTAGATATTCAAGCAACTATTAATTATTAACAACTTTAATGTGGTTAATAATGGTATTATAAAATGCCTGGTCATAGAAAACAAGCTTGGATGGCATGATCATGAGAAGACTATACATTAAACAAAAATTAAACAGCTGACTAAAACCAAGACATACAAGACAAAATTCCTTATTTCAGATGGACACATTTCAGTAAATTGTGGGACTGAGAATCACTGAGACCAGCAGGTTCCAGGGACCTGGATTGTATCCTGCCAATGGTGCCATATGTAGCAGATATCTGTGTCCCAAAAGCAGAGAAGAAAAGTGTGTAGAAAAGACTTGAGATATCATGGATGTCTCTCCATCTTTAAAATACATATTTAGAATAAGTAGACACCTTACAAAAGAATAAGCAAAAGTATGGAGAAGCAAAAGAACTTGTATCTCAAAATCAAGAAGTCAAGAGTAATAACTGAATGTTGAATAATGTCTGAAATTACTTTCAGAAATAAGGCGCAGAATCAATCTTGGTTAATATCTTCATGATAACTTGGCACAAAATACAGAGACTTTCTGATGAAAACTGCCAAAGCAAAAAACCTGGAAGACATTAACAGAAAGGAATAGGTATGTCATACAGTGGAAAATGGAATACCTTCAAATCTAGAGTAATAGAAATGGGAAAAATGCATAGGATAAAAAATTTAAGTCATTCATTTGGGCACTAATAACAGAAGGTTCTCCCAGAAACTAGAAACTGTTTGGAAACAATTATGGAAGAGAGAGAAGTACTGAGTTGTAAAGAGTTATTCCAAAATTACTAGTAGCTTCTAATGAGACACAGCTGTGAATTAGGCAAATGCTGTTCTGTGACATACCAAAAGAGGTATTTCTAACACAAATAGGGAAGAGCTAGTGTCACTGTACAAAGACCTAGCAAAAACGCCTAACGTAGAATCATATAATGGGTAGGGTTAGAAAGGACCTTAAGATCACTTACATCCAACCCCCCTGCCATGGGGAGGGACACCTTCCCCTAGACCATGTCACCTAAGGCTCTGTCCAGCCTGGCCTTGAACTCTGGCAAGGATGGAGCATTTACCACATCTTTTGGCAACCTGTTCCAGTGCCTCACAACCCTAACAGTAAAGAATTTCTTCCTTATATCTAACCTCAACTTCCCCTGTTCAAGTTCAAACCCATTACAGTTCCTCTCCAGCATCCTTGTAGGCCCCCTTCAGATACTGAAAGGCTGCTATGAGGTCTCCACTACTATGCACGACTACATACAATTTTATTCACCCATCTCCAAGGATACACAACTAAAACACAAAAGGAGAATGGTTAGTAGGTTGATGAGAGAAATAAAAAAGTGAATTTTACATGGAAAACTTAAAAGGCCTTGATTAACTAGAGCAACAAGAGAACTGCTCAGAAACAATATGAAGATTGTCTATAAATAGATCTGAAGAACGCATACCAGGTAAAGAAGTATTTAATTTGAATAATAATGCTGGCACAGAACGAAAAGGATATAAATCAGACATGGGTATGTATACAAATTAGAGATATTAATCATTAAAGCGAACAAGTTCTTGAGCTGATTGCCTTTGGGAGTAATGGGGATGAAAAACCTAGCTGCTTTTATTGGACACAGTAAGTTTATGAAACGGGTGATATAACAGAGCTGCTAGTGATCGCAGCGATAGAATTTGGTGGTCTAGTAAGACCTAGTAAGTTAGGATATAAAATGTTCAGTTTCATTTGCAGGTTAGAGAACAATTTCAACTTACTATTAAGGTATTAGAGCACACTAGCTAAGAAAATTTTCAAGAACCACTTGATCAAATATTTGTTATGGCTTTTCTAGGTGTAGCTGGACAGGCTTACAGAATTGGGTTGGTCTTTTGAGGTCCTTTCCAATTTCTAGGAGAAAATATAGGCTTGTATCTTTCTGAACTCTGGCTTAGCAAAACAGCAAAAACCCAAAGTTATTTCTGAGAAAATTGTTGAGTAATTTACACTCTGTAACTTTTGGAGATGTTCGTAGTGGTACATTATTATTTTTGCAGTGTTCGAAGTGTTATAGGAAATTCATAACTCAAACTCAGTTGCCAGCAGGAGATCGGAAGCTTTTGGCTTTCATACCTGGGGAGTCTGGCATACACAAAATGAAATACCGTTATTGTATTTAGCCTTTTCTAGCAGAGAAAATGCAGTTTGGTGTAAGCTCCATCGTAAAATGCTTTTCTTCTCTGAACTTCCTCCCAGAGTGGCAACAGGGTTCTGTGTTCCATCATTCTAGACCACTACCAGGGACCATCAATAATAAACTACGATGATGAGAATGGCAAAACATGTATGCACATTGCTGCTGCTTCAGGCTACAGTGATATTATTAGTGAGCTGGCTAAAGTCCCGGGGTGCAACCTGCAGGCCCTTGATGTGGATGAAAGGTAACCATGGAAACTCTGACTGAAATTGCTGCTTCCTTTCTATTAACCTGAGACTAGCTCTGTTTATTCTATAATGGTGTTTCCTGTTTCACAGGCCATGGTCTAGTGCACCAAACTGATGAACGGCACTTAGGGAGAACCGTGCTTGCTCAGAAGCAGTGCAAAGCAGTCCAGCCCACATTTATCATATCTGGTATACTAACTGACTAGTAGGAATGTTATTTAGCTTTGTGTTTCTGGTAGGAAATGATAAGATTATGTGTGAAAGGACTTTGTCACCATTTGACTTAACTTCTTTCAATGAAAAGTGGACATTCTTTTCAAAACAATAGAACAGGATCCTACAATTTGATGCTAGGATCCTGCTGCTATTTGTACTTAAGAAATGGCAATGTTCCCTTGTTTCATTTAAGAATGAAACACATTCTCCTGTGTTTCATAAGAATGCTAACACAGTATTCCTTAAGACCAAGGGAACTTCACCTTCCATTTTGATGAGGCATTTGATTTCTTCTAGGATGACATACCTATATTGTAAGTGCACAAGATTCATCTCCTTTACTGTTTTTCAGCCCACACCTACCTCCTTTGGAATTTGCTCTAAAATTTATTTAATGCAAACAGAACCAACTGACTGTTCACATTGCTTATTCTGCTCAGTGGAGCAAAAGCCAATGTTTTCTTGGCTTAGGCCTTCAGGTACTTAAAATAATAGCATTCTTCATGGAAAAGTGCAATAAAATGGAACAGAAATAAAACCAACAGGGTTCTGGAGAAGTTTCTAAACATCAGTAAAATGTAGCTGAGAAGGCTGTGTTTTTATGGAAAGAAGGGTGAAGGGAGGAGTTTAACTACAGTAAAGAGCTCAGTAAGACATGATCTACTATTGCACATTCTCAGATATTTCCATAGATGTTATACTTGAAGAGAGGAAAAGATAAGCTGTTCACTGTAAATAAAGCAAATTTCCATTCTATTATGGTCCGACTGCATCCATCTGAAATCACTGGGATTGCAAAGAAACAGGCAGAAGAAAAGTTAATTTTCTTTTTCATTCTCACAGTTTTCTTATGGTGTGTTCTGTGCTTCCAGATTTTTCATAAGTGCAAAGTATTACAATTTGGAAACTTCACATAGGTTTCCAAAGACAAGATGCAAATCTTCTGCCAAGCAGAAAATAAGTGTAATTGTCATACACAGATTCAAGACAATTATATCTGCTCCAGTCTGTGCCTGTCAAAGAATACAGAAACTGACAAAGAGACAACAACAGCCTGGCAGATGTGTCCAGTCCTTCTCATTTACCCAGAGGGGGCTTCTTTTCCAGTTACTTCCACGGAGATACCTGAGCCAACCATTGCTAATTGTGTTTGGTGTAGAGATGAGAAGACCTTGTCCCTATGCAGGAGACGCTATGAAGATTTTTTTTTTCTAATTCTGCTTTGAAAACTTCAGGGACTCCTCCCACTCTGCAGCTCCAGCAGTTGCTATTATATAGCATGTATAGGCATTTTGCAACCTCATATCTACTTTCTTTACAGCTAAATAGTCACACACAGATAGAAGTTCTTCAGTGGCCTTATTACCACCACTGGCAACTACATCAGCACAGGGTAAGTCGCTGAAGAATTCCATGAAATGGATGTTGTGGATCTGGATAAGTAGCATAGGAGCACACTTCATTATGTCATTAACAGTTTCAATAGTAAATTTATCCATTTATTTTAATGGTACTCCTCCTTTTCCATAGGACGCCTTTGCACTGGGCTGCAGCAGCAGGGAAAGCTGACTGTGTGCAGACACTGCTAGAGCTGGGGATAGATAGCGACCCTCGAGACATCAATGAAAACACTCCTCTGACATATGCAATGTACTGTGGGCATACAGCATGCATCAATCTGCTGTCTCAGGAGAGCAGGTAAAACAAAAGTTCACACTTCACTCATATATTACTACTGACTAGAAACCAAATATATTGCTTTTTGTTTGCTACCGTAGGGTTTAAGCCCTGGGTGATGTCTTCTCGATTCATATGCAATACTCTGTTCAAGTTTTCCACCCAAGTAGCAACATTAGAATTAGTCATCTACTGAAAATCCATCACTGAGGTTACAGTGCTAGTCTGCCAATCAGCAGAGGGTTCTGAACCAAGAAGATGTGAGTATAGATCTTGCTCAGTCACCTTCATGCAGAAAATTTATCTTACAGAATAATTTCAGCCCTCAGTATTATGCCTTCCACTTCTTTGAAATCTCTGTGACTAGCTGTATGTTCATTTAATCTGACAGAGGCATAGACTGAACACAAAAGCAGCTTTGCCAGATAATAAAATAAATTTGAAGTCTGCATCCTTCGGATAAGGTTTTGGGAGTGTTTTTCTTATTTAGTTCTCTGCCTTGATTATATTATTGAATTCTTCTTATTCTGACTTTTTTTTTTTTCCTGTTAAAAAGTATGAGCCTTTTACCACTGCTTATGATCTTCTTCTCTCTTTTTATTTCTCATATTTCAGCAGTTGTCATTTAATTAATTTTAGTTCTTCAGCTTTGGTAAATGAGCATGCACTTACACTTATCATTCCATTTCTTTGTGCTTTCCCCTACTTTTGAGTCAGCAGTTAGTATTATTTCCTGTTACAAATTGCGAGACATGGGTAACTTTTCCTCTCCTCCTCCTGCACTCTGCCTGACAGAGCAGATCTGAAATGTTGGTTAGCAAAATCTCATCTAAAAACCACTACTAAAAACCACTACAGCATCATCACTGTAGGCAATTATCTTGATAGATCTAAAACTACACCAAACCTCTTTAGTACAAGCAAGGCAAGGGAAAGGGGAAAGGAAAAGGGAAAAAAGAAAAGGGAAAGGCAAAAGAAAAATGAAAGGTAAAAAAAAATGGGAAAGGGAAAAGGAAAAGCAAAGAGAAAGGGAAGGAAAGGGAAAGGGAAAAAGAAAAGGGAAATAAAAGACAAAGGGGGAGGAATGGTCAACTAGTGCCTTTGTTACAGTGTTAGCAATGACTGTGCTGTTGGAAATACTATTTTCCAAATATGACATAATACAAAGACCACTTGGTTTTAAAGATCCCATCATGTTATTCTTGTTATTATTGGATCTTGCTTCACCAGTAAGAATTATAATTCTGCAGCTGGTAGATGCTGAAGCCAGGAAAGTTTGTTTATTTTTTTTTCCTGATAGCTGCACTGAGCCTACATTAAGATGAGTGTAAGGCAATGAACCCCATAAGAAATAGTGAAGTAACATGGTATCATTTATAGTCTCTGTTAATTACAAACCTGCATTCCTAATTTTCTGCCTCCTTGAACGAGTCCTGCAAATGTGTCTCAACAATACATACTCCATTTCACGGGCAAATATAGTATTTCTTTATTATTTGGCAATATTGACATCACATTTTGATTTGTAATTCCAGTAGATCTGAGCCAGTTCAACAGTTTCCCTCCCAGAACAACAGACCCCCAAAGAAAGAAGAACGATTCAGTATACTGAACCACATCTTCTCTTTCAAAAAGAATAAAAACGATCAAAAAAACAGTCAGAAGGAGAAAAGCAGAGACCGAAATCCCAGAGAAGAGAGGTCAGACGTAGATGACATCATCACCACTTTTGATTGCATTATGGACACAAACTGCAAAGATAAGCGTGTGACCACAATTGGCTTTAAAAGAAGGAGCACAGACACTAAGTACCTCATACCAGAAAAGAAGCAGCCAGAGTGTCAGGGACTTCTGCCCATCAGAACCCAGAGCCTTCCCCCCATCACTGTGGGCAATTCCTTCCTAACTGCTTCCCGGAACATGTCAACCTTCTCCTCCAGCACCAGCACCCACCAATTTGCACACAAGTCTCTGAAGAGGCAGAGTGAACACAACTTGCTGGACCCCAGAAGCAGCTGCCAGGCTTTGTTGGGTGATCCCTGTAACACAGGCTCCAATCAGCTATTCTCCTACACAGCCAGCACTAGAACTCCTTCAGACAAACTGATAAATGGCTTAAACTCTGATAGATCTCACCATGTGCGTTTGTGCCCTCCCCACCTTCCCTCACTTCCCAGTTCTTCATCAGGTAATTTCTTTTCTATCTCCCAAATCCTATAATGTCTACTGATGTAGAAAGCTGAGTCAGAAAAAATTGCTAAGTCTGACCCATGACATTTCAAGTTTTTGAATACCTTTTCCCATTTCTTTTCCCTACATGTTATAGCAATTGAAGATAGCCTAAGTACAGAACATCAGCTGACAGCTTAAGCAAGGTGCTTAGGGGTGAGAAATAAGACATTTAAGCAGGTCTCATGAGGAAATAAAAATACAGGTAGTCAGGAAGCACAGAATGTACCTGAGCAAGGTAAGTGCCTTCAGATCATGTATGTGCTTTGTGAATTGCATGGTAACACCCTCAGCCACACCTGCTGCCTTATGTCCACATTTAGTCCTGAAACTAGAAGTGCAAGGGAATAGTACTGCACTCAGATCTCTAACTGTGCTGACAGCTGCTTCTGGATCCAACCAGGTAACCCATGTGTGCCATGCTGGACAGCTCTGCACCTTGGCACTTTTAGACTGTAGTGTCACCCCTTCCGACCCTTCCTACCCCAAGTGCCAGCATTTTGGTCCAGGGTGCTGCTCTTACAGTTTTTCCAAAGCTGAGTTCAGGTTGCTAAATTTACAGACACAGAGTAAATACTTTTATGTTGTGGCTTGGAAACTGTAATGCGACAGTAATGAAGAAGAGCATCAGAATTCTGAAGTAAACACAAAACCAGGGGTTGACTAGATTTGGGATCTAGTACTTTGTTTGACTCATATTAATGTTTAAATGAATCTGGCTGGCTAGCCTGCTTGCTGGAGTTTACCTCAACATACCAGTGTCTTCAACTTCATCTCCTTTGGGATTAGTCCCATGCCAAAATTAAACACATCTAGCATGCTTTCCAACCACTGTAATATACAACAGAAAATGAAGCAAGCAAAAGCAATCCCCAAAATTACCAGTACACCATTACAAGAAGTAAACATTACACAGTAAGTTAATCTACCCTCACCCCAACAAACATGAGCTGCTATCTTTTACAGGAAATAGGAATGAACAGAAACCCCCTCTGAAAAGAACACTCTGAGAGGTCAGGTCACTATCTGAGCTTGCATAATAGTGCAAACTGTGCTGACTTCTACGTGAAGGGATCTATAAAATAGTAAATCTTTGTTCACATCTCTAATAATGAGAGTAGAGGTGGCAATTTCAGAATCTTTGGTTATTCTACGTTTTGCAAACAAAGGCTGGAAATCTTACCCTGTTTTTAAGGGTTAAAATAGCAGCTATTCAAAAAGTTCCACTTCCTGAATATCAGGCCACATTCCCGAAAACTTGATAGGCCTGATCCATAAGTGTCACTACCTTTTTACTATGCACTCTTCAGTTATTCACTCTAGCATACAAACCTCAAACTCCATATGGCTACAAGGGTTGCTCCAGCAAAAAGTCCACACTGAACTCTTCAAGGTTCAGCTCACACATGAAAGACAAGAAAATCTGCAGGGCTTCTTTACAACCCAAATATAACAGGGTACACTGAGACTGAGATATTTGAGGGCTGTTGACAGCAGAGGAGGAATGAACTCAAACTGGAAAAACCAAATCTGGGGATAACTATAGAAAAACACTTCATGGGATTAGTTAGACCATGAATGCTTTTGATGTGGAAGTAACGAACATGTTACTTAAAATGTGACTACAGATTTTTCTTAAGACTGTGGAATACTGTAAAAAATCCTTTTTTGTTCTGGACAGAAGGACAGGCAGTTTTCCGTGAACATCCTATGATAAAAAGTTGCAACCAAGTGAATCAGGACAGACCGTGAATCAGGACAGACACTGCACATCCATTCAGTGCTCTGTTCTCTGCACAGAGACTTGGTATAGCACCCACAGTCTACATGCATGAATAAGGGAAAAATTGTACAAATTATGGGAAATCTTCTAATTGTTACAATGGGAGCAGTCTTTGCATGTCCAAAGGAAGAGTAAGTCATTTTATCTCTAACAGTTTATTATCTCCCTCAGAGAAAATAAAGCCTGAGTCTGCTTTAAGCCCAGCTCTCTGTGTACCAGCTCCCTTTAACAAAACTTTCCAACAATAAAAATATTCTTGTAGCTGGCAAAAAAGACTTCCACTGAAGCATATGAATTAAAAGCTTTTAAGGACGCAGGGAGTGTCTGACAGGAATACATTGCACAACCCAGATACTGCCTAACATTTCTTCATGATAAAAAGATCTGCTTATGCTCCTTCATGCCTGTGTGGTTTAAATCTGTCTGCCCCTGTAACGATAACCACCTGACTTGCTGTGAATTAGAGCTGCATTTACTGTATGAGCTCCAGGTCTCCAGTGCAGTGCCTGCAGGACTCAGAGGGATCAGAAGTAAAGTAATCCTGGCTCCAGCCCAGCCAGCAGTTCTGTGCAGGCAGCTGTCTCCAAGGAAGGATATTTCCTCATTGGTTTTTTTCTGCAGAAGGCCTAGCTGAGGGGAAAAACATCATCTCGACTCTGAAGGACACTGAAGTGTAAAGACTGCATTTCTCAAGTCATGACTGTGGGAGTTAAAAATAACTTCCTAATCACTGAATATCCAGGGCAGGATTATGGGTATCAATAATCTAGGGGAACTCAATTTTAAAATTATTTTCTCAACTAACACCCAGAATTGATTTTCTTGCATGACCTTTTATTAAAGTCAGAGTTGAGTAAGCTACTAAGGCAGCTGGCACATAGACTGGGATTTTTAGAGGTACTTTGTTCTGGTTTCTGTGCTCCTGGAAATGAAACATGAGTCAATTTACTAGCTGAAACTTTGCATTTACACAGCACAGAGAAGTTGCTTCGGGTAGCAATGAGACTTACCTTACAATCATGGCACTGGTTTCACTCAGAATAACTACTTTGTCTTGCCCTCCACTGGGAAGAGCAAAGACAGATTATACCAAAAACTACTGTCAATATTGCAAGAGTTTGCCAGCCACGCTGAGCTAGCATCCACATTATGTATTTATGAGCTTTGTAATCATCTCTTTTTACCAAATGTACTGCCATCTACTTTCCACAGGGAAAGTGGTGCAAGTAGAGAATCTCCAAGTGATATGGTAAAAGGAAACTTGTCTCGAAATGCAAGGCAGCTGTTAGCACCCCCTAACCAGCTGGAGCATTTTCTTTCTTTCATTCATCTTTTAGATTATCAACCTTTGCTAAAGGTGATACTTTATTATGGGTTTTATTATACCAGCCCAGTACCTTCTATTTGCTTGAACAGGTAATGTAAAAAATAGGTTATTATTAAGCTTATGTTGGCATAATCATAGAATCATAGAATAGTTAGGGTTGGAAAGGACCTCAAGATCATCAAGCTCCAACCCCCATGCCATGGGCAGGGACGCCTCACTCTAAACCATATTACCCAAGGCCTCATCCAATCAGTATGGTACAGTTCAACAGGAAGCACTTTCTGTCCAGGAAAGAATAGAGCAAAGATGATCAGTATAGCTGTTTCTTTCTCAAACTGAAGGAGTGATTTACATTGGGACATTCATCGTAACATTTACAACTTTTCCACAAAACACACCACTGTGGTTCACCTACCTAAATGCAAAGGAAAAACAAAGAACAACCTGTATAAAATGTCAGTAAACAAAATAAAATGCACAGCAGTCCTGCATTCTATGATAATAAATTGTACCCTTTCCATTTCATTAAAAAATAAGTATCATCATAAATATGCTCTTAGGGATGACAAAGATGATATAGTAAAGAAAGAAAAACTTTTTTCTCTGATGTTACATGGAGCAGATAGAAAGAAAGGGCAGAAGAATACTTCCCCTTTATGCCAGAACTTTTAGACACAAGGATTCTTTTCCAAACATTCGTATCAGCCTTGCAAACATGATTATGCTTTGTACTGTTGTTTTGAAGCCATATATCCCCATCTATGAAACAAATATGTCTCTTGGTAGAAACAACCTCCCATAATCAAGGTCACAATGGTACATAAACCATTAGTTCTCAGCATGAGCATTATTGAAACCAACATAATTCAAATTTCACTAATGGGAACAGCAGGCTTGATACTCCGCTATTTTGGAATTTATGTATTTATTTCTTTGTGCACAGTGGATGCAATGTCTATAGAAGAAATTTCCCAATTTTTACACCCATTTATTGATCACCTTGGAGAAGTGTCAAAGACTAAATAAAGAGTAAAACATGGGAAAAGGAAACTAAAGTCTGTTTGTAATAGACATAGCTCATCTGTAAGAAATTCTTAGTCCAATACACATCAGCTTTACGCATGGGATCCAGTAGATTGAGCCAATGGCTATCAACTGTCGTGGTCTTTGGACCAGAATTTTGCTCCATGTTCAGCTGAAGGATGCACTATACCATGGGGATTTGTCCAATAAAGACCACATTAGCTCCTTTCATAGAGAATCCGTTTGATCAGTAACACAGTTACAACAGTCTTGACAATTACTTCAGTGCACTTCTAGGAAACGGTTCTAAAACTGTTTTCCTACAGCTTTATCTTGCACAAGCCAACAATACATATGTACTTTTAAGTAACCACAAAGCCAAAAAGGCAATTTACATAATTCCATTTTTAACTATTGCCTAAGATGTCCTACTACATGCAGTCCATGTCTCCCTTTCTCTCTGCGTGCCAACAGAGCATATGCTTGATCTGCAGTGAGCTGTGTTGCAATGCCATGCTGGATGAGCAGCTGTTTGGCAAGACAACCCAAGGCTCCTTACACAGCTCATCTCAGCTCTGGGGATAACAAAAAAGAAAAATCTGGGGACTCAAACATCACTGAATAAGACCAACTCAGGAAGGTGATCTGGTGAAAATGTTTATTTGGTGCCTGAATTTCCTCTTTATTTGATTTGTCATTTATGTAGCAAAATGCAATACGTCATCTATTGTATTTTCTTTTTTAACAGTACTAAAACCAAGTTAATTTTGATCATAGCCAGTGAAATGCCACAGTTAGCCAATTAATCTTTCATTTTCCAGTATCTGTTCTTGGAAAAATGTAATTGCCATTAACGTAGCTTAATAAGGATCAGTAACAGTTTATATCAGTTCTGCTATGTTTTCATCTGTGGCAAAACCCTCTCAGAGCTCATCTTTACTGCTGATAGACCTCCACCAGTCTCATTTACCAGCCAGAAGTTGAACTCTTATTTGTGTTGTAGTATTTACAAAGGCTGAGACCCTATTAGAAAGTCTGTAAATGAAAGCTTTGATTCTGAAATCAAATCCATCTAGTTGAATATTTCTAGAAATTTAGTGTCCAAATATTCTTACATGGACCTAGCTACTGGACTTTGCCTGTTTTAAAACCAATTATTATATTATATGAAAGGAAGTGATAAGGGTACACATGAAGGTTATTATTAAATCAGTCACTCTTTTAAATGAATGTAGATTTAAAAAAAAAAGAAAGCTTTTTTTCCATCAGTGGTTTCTTGTTATTACATATGTCTGAGAATTACTAAAACTGGGGTTTTTTTTGCTAAAAGCCACAGATCTACAGTGCATCATATTATTAACAATTATTTTCATATGGTAACAGATAATTTTTTCTCTTTCACAGGTAAAAATTTTCAACAGTTTTTCACAGATCAACCCAAAATACAAAATAATACCCCTGTACAGAACAGCCTAGCTCCCATGCCCAACCACTGTGCTCACAAATGTAAGTACAGTCAAGTCTCAGCTACAGTATCATACTTATGTGCCTCCAGCACTGGCATCTGAGGGTTTTGAGAGAGGTTTCATGTTCCTTTTTTCACAGCATCACAGAATGGCTGAGGTTGGAAAGCACCTTTGGAGAGTGTCTAGTCCAACCTCCATGTCCATAGAGAAGTCACCTACAGCAGGCTGCTCAGGGTTGTATCCACCTATGTTTTAAATAACTCTAATGACGGGGACTACACAACTTCTCTGGAAAACCTGTTCCAGTGTTTGAGCTCCTTTACAGCAAAAAATGTTTCTTTTTAGTTGTTTGCCCATTGACTCATTTCTGTTCATAGGATACTACTGAGAAGAGTCTGGCTCCCTCTTCTCGAGGCTGGACAGTCCCAGATCTTTCAGTCACCCCTTTGAGGTTGGACACTCCAATCCCTTAGTCATCTCCACCACCCTTTGTTGGACTGCTGCTCCAGTATGTCCATGTCTCTCCTGTACTGGAGGTCCCAGAATGGGACACAGCACTCCAGATGTGCCTTATCAATACTGAGCAGAGGGAAAAGATCACCTGCCACAATCTGCTGGCAACACTTTTCCTAATGGAGACTGTTGGCTGTCTTTGCTGCATGGCCACATTGCTGGCTTATGTTCAGCTCATTGTCTATTGGGACTCCCAGATCCCTTTCCGACAAGCTCCTTTACAGCTGTTTGATCTTCAGCATATATTGGTGCAGGGACTTACTCCTCCCAAGGCGCAGGACTATACATTTCCCTTTATGAGAGTCTTGTCCACCCATTTCTCCAGCCTGTGAAGACCACTCCTCCCAGTTTCATATCATTTGCAAATTTGCAGGAGGTGCACTCTGCCCCATCATCCAAGTCACTAATGAGGGCATTAAATAGTATTAGCCCCAGTATCAGCTCCTGGGGTATTCCACTAGTGACTGGCTCACTTCCAGGTTGGGCTGCTCTTCACAACCCTTTTCTCCAATAAGTTTCATAGAGCTGAGCTAGTAGAAGTGATGTACATCAATACAGATGAGAGCAGGGTTCTACGTTTGCTTTCCAGAGCAGAGGTGACTGGAATTCTCAGAGACAGGATTTTTTGCTCTCAGTTTCACTATCAACTGCATATATCTGTATGACTCTGGAAGCTTTTCTTAGGGAGCAGGATGTAAAGAGATGGATGACAACACCCTAATGACTGTTTGGCAAAGAGAGGTTAGACGTGTGAGATGAAAGCCAGGACAAGTAAAGACTCTTCTGCGGACAACGTCAAAAATATGACACAGATTTTTGTGTCTTTTTGCTAGCAAAAACTAAAAAGAAGATGATTAGAGCAAGAAACAGTCATTTTCTAAATGTTACATAGCTGAAAAGACTGTCTATCTCTCCCTGCCTTAAGCACAGCAGATAAAGTAGCTTCTAAATGTTACATAGCTGAAAAGATTGTCTATCTTCTCCCTGCCTTAAGCACAGCAGATAGAGTAGCTTTTACACAAGGATGGGAATCATTCGTTTCTCTCATTCTAACAGCAACAGTTTGGGTAGCTTCTATAACACAGGAACAAAAACAAAGCAATCAAGAGAGCAGCAGCCTCTTACTACTCTGTACTTTCAGCTAGCTCCTCAATCCCAAGGCAGTGAACCAAGGTCCCAAAGAGCATGGAAAGCTTCACCCCACTCCCACAGCCCTGGCAGTGTCAAGAATTAATGAGTATCCCAGACTGGATCCAGCCAACAACTGGGGTGTTCTTCACAAACACTAGCCCTGCTCCCAGTAGTGTCCTGACCTCACATTCTTGCTCTCCACAAGGCACAAATCCCCGAGTGTACTTTGGATTAGGATTTCCAGTTCGCTATTTGTCATCCTACATATCAGCCAGGTCCTGAAGCACTCATATTTCAGAGTTAAACTTGGGATTCATTGCCTCTTACAATATGAGTTTCAGAAGCAATTCTGCAGTTACAACAAAACTACTAAAAAGGAAACAGCAGAGAAGAGTTTTATGAGGAACATCAGATTGGGTAGGGGAAATACAGAATCCTGCACTGCTACTACACAGTAAGTAAGAGAGGAAGAAGAAAGTAGAGATATGTGGAATACTGAGGTGGTATTCTCTGTCTGCTCAGAGGAAGGAAAATAATCTCACTGCTTTCAAATCCCCAGTTCCAAGACTCCTATTTTTAAGCTTTCTACTAATGTTATCTGTGTTTTCTAGTTAAAACATAGTTGTAAGCAAAATCCTAAAAAAAAAAAAAAAAAACCAAAATTATTTCATAATCACTGGTGTTCTTGCAGTAAATCATACAAATGGTCAGGATTTTAGTTCTAGGCTCAAGCAAAAAAATGTGTTTTACAAATAAAATTCAATTATCACAGTTAATAATCATGGTTTAATTGACTTACAAAGCACAGATACCAAGGTGCCCATTACTGCTTGAACATCAGTTTAAGCCAATAAAGAAATAAATAAAATAAAAAAAGAAAATAGAAAGTTATTTGGAAAATAGATCTACATTTCCTCTTTGTTAACACAAATGACACATTTGATCCTGAAGTTTTGCAAATACGTGCTTCAGAGCCAAGATTTTCCTCATCCTCCATGCAGCCTTAAAAATATTACTGATTTGGACACAGGCAAAATTATTTGGACATCCAGGCAAATGGCTCCAGCAAGGAAGCTTGAACATAAACATTTTTCTAACGGTTTCATTACAGAAGATGTGTGTTAAAAGCATGTAACAAAGCCAGTGGAAAACAAAAGCAACCAGGGAGTTAGAACAATACCATAAGCATAAATCAGAAAGAGAACTGAAACTGCTTAGAGAGTAACAGAAAGCAGAAACATCTCCCAAAAAAGGAAGGGCAATGAAAAAAAAAAGGAAGAGATATTTTAATCTCTAAGCAAAAATATTTTAAAATACAAGTTAGAAAGAGGGTAACAGTAATTAAACAGTAGCCCAGAAAAAGAATATTTGAGTGACTTTAAACCACACTTTATAAACTTCCACCCTCCAGACACTCCCAAGGCCTAAAAGGTCCCTCAAGGGCTTCTTGAGTAGCCTCAGCACAGTCTGGCATGTCTGTTACTCTGCATGATGCTGCTCCATCCCCTGCACACACTATCTCGCCACATGACTCCCCCAAGGACACCTGGAAAAAAGACTTACAACAATCACACACTGCTCACACAATGCCAGAATCATTTTCCAAACAAATATGGGACTTCTAGAGAACTCTCTGCTGCTCTCATTTCTTCATGTAGCTTTCTAAGCCTGATCTAAAGTCTGAAGCCATAATGAGGATATTAGTTGTTGGGGAGGGAAAAATCAAATCTATTTCTGAAGGTCATTTAACAATATTTTGGGTTGATCAATGGTTGGTTTTCTTGTTATTCATCATGATTTGAAGTTTCTTCTTTTCCAACTCAAAAGCAAAGGACTCCACAAAGCACCATCCTCTCTGCAGAGGGTCTACCACGGCCTACCATGGTCCACTGCTTGCAAAAGTAAGAGTCTAAGAACCATTCCTTCTGCTGAAGTACACAGTCCTTGGGCAATGACTCCCTGACTCCCATATTATTACCTCTGCAGTTTGTAATAGTAGCTACTCAAGAGTCACTACTGGGTGGAAAATGTTCCCTGAATTAGTAGCTCTTGTTGCATCACTAGGTCTTTGGTGGTTAACTCTGCCTTCTGTGAATAATTACTAATGCTTTTGCTCTATACAGCTTCTGGATGTATGGTAACCAGTCTTAAGGGCTGTGTCTCACACCCCAGTGCTGGGTCCAGGCTCCTGTGTTTCAATACATACATTAAAACTAGTAACTATATACATTATTTCAAAGCCATCCAGTCCTGATATCCTCATAAAATACCCTAAACTGAGCACAGTATGTAAGACCATGTAGAAAGACTTGATGCTGTTTTTTACTTCGTTGAATGAGTGTGGGTTTGTGATGGCTATCTGGTCATGCAAATGAAGTTAAACTACCCTACATTTGCCCTACTTAAACACATTGTTAAAGGTTTATCTGGTACAGAAAGTGTTCTGGAGATACTTTACACAGGTGTAAACTTTAATCCACAAACATATGCCTGTGCTCCGAAGAGAGAAACAAGTGAGCCTCTCCATATGTATTTGGTTTACACACCAAAATTTCATTGAACTCAAAGCATTCTATAATGTGCCAGAAAACAAACTAACTCATTTATTGTATTTAACCATGCCCAATTCACAGAAATTCAATACGAATTAAAGCAAAGTATTTACTGGGGGGAGGGGTGTTGTTGCTTTTTTGTTGTTTTGGTTTGGGGCTTTTTTTCATGGAAAAGAGAGCTAAGTGATTTCCTGAAATTCTGAACATGAATGAACTTTGAATATGACCCACAAATTACACTACATTGCCAAAGTTCTAGTAAACATCACCTGCTCAGGCCATCAGAACTTGAATTGTACTGAAATTAGCATGAAAAAAAAAAAAAAAAGGAAAACAAAAACCTACCTTATTTTTTATGAAAATTTGTGAAAACAGTTAATAACCCTTCCTCATTGAAACTACATTATTTCTCACTTCTGCATCCACTCCACCCGTATCCCAGTTATCCTTTTTGGTGTTGCTTGATGAGCAGTGATAAGGTTAACTTCAGATGTTTCTCTGGAATTACAAAGGATTTTAATTGGATTAAGAGAGAATACTCTTCTCGAGCCCTCATTTCTGTAGAAATGAACCTGCGCCAGAAAAATTTGTCAGAGACTATGAAATTGGAAAAATCAAAGGAGCTGCCAGGAAAAATGCAAAATTAAGTCAAACTTAAGAACGTCTCAGGTATTTATCATAACAGATGCAGATGAAAGGAAATCACAGCTGGAATGAGAATGGATTCAAGGAAAAATCAATGTGAAAAAAATCAAGGACGATTCTGTGGTGTTAACTCCAGTAAGGAACTCTTCATATAGTTAAACTGAAAACCCCAAACTGTTTGTATACAAAAAGCTATAAAAGGGAGGAATAAAAAGGAGGAATCGAATGCAAAGAAGGTAATGCAATTCATAATAAATTCCAAGGCAGAGAAGCAGGTCTGCAATTAAGGTTTTGACCTCTCCTTTAAATCAAAAAAAAAAAAAAAAAAGGAAATTAGTTAGCAAGTTGCCTGAATGAAGGAAGTTGAGGAATTTGATTTAGAAAAGATTCAGAAAAGATGCAGAACTATGTTAAATTTAAAGCACAAACAATGCTACACTGCTGAGTGTGAGATGGAGATTAAGGATGATCGAAACCTATGGTTTCTTAAAAGAATTCTGACACATATGAAGCATACAACAGCTGTGGTTCTTGTGTTTCAGTGCAGGTTTTAGTGTGCTTCAGTGTAATGGTCTAGTTTTGTGTCCTGTGACTTGTGGAGCACGTGTGGATCAATCTTCATGATTGACTGTGCCTAAAGCAACCTAGACAGTGTCCCATGTTAGAATCATAGAATAGTTAGGGTTGGAAAGGACCTTAAGATCGTCAAGTTCCAACCCCCCTGCCATGGGCAGGGACACCTCACACTAAACCATATCACCCAAGGCCTCCTCCAACCTGGCTTTGAACACTGCCAGGGATGGAGCATTCACAACCTCCCTGGGCAACCTAGTCCAGTGCCTCACCACCATAACAGGAAAGAATTTCCCCAGTGTTCTTCCATTTCATCTTCCTAAGAACTTACCTGGGTAACAGAGCATCCTTATACACAGGTTTTGTTAATATATTTCCATGCAACATTTCTGTTTCTGTCAGCCTATGGTTTTTGACGAAAAAAATATTTTGTGTAAATCTGTTCAAACAGACCAAGTCTCCTTCAGACAAACTATGGAATCTCTGCTTATCAAAAGTAAACCTTTGAATTTATCAAGTCTTATTTATCACCAAACACAAAGTAAATCACTTAGATTTACTGGAACACTGGAATTGTTTTCTTCAGTGGAAGATTATCTATGCCAGGCTTTAGAGATTTTTTTAATCATATTTTGATCACATTTTTCAGATGCAGGTTTGAGTACACACAAGACAAAAAATGTAGAAAATTCATTTGTTAAAATGTCATGCTTTTCACTTTCTGTCCACTCTTTCTCTCTTTTTCTTTTTCCTCTAGTTCAGCTACCATCTAAGGGTGCTAAGAATTTTAAGTCACTGCCTTTAAATTCCCCAAGGACTGGTGCAGTTATTCTCCCACCAGCCCCAGCCTCCAAATCCCATAAAAGGGGACATTCTGAGAATCATTTGCTCTATTCCATCTTGCCTGGTGTGTCAGGAGAGCCTCTGAAACCAAGCTGTGTCCTACCTGCTATCCCAAGCCAGAAGAGATCTAACCCTGCAGAAGACCTTAAGAAATCTCTCACCAAACCAGATGCTGAAAATTAACTCATTACACTAGCCTCAATCAGTTGAAATATACCTAAGAGCTTGCTACAAGATAACCATATAGTAAAATCTCATTAATTTGCACTGGAGTGTAAATGAACAAAACCCAAGAAAGGGTAGCACATCACAAAAGCTGCACTGTGTATTTATATAGGCATTTTTATTGTAGTTTTCATTTATGAAAATTACTAAATCGATATTTAATGTGCTGTAAATCTATTTTGCGAATGGAATCCTCATAACACGCAGTCTTGTTGCAGCAATGTGCTGTTAAGTCTTTCATAGAAAACAGAATCAAAGAGTAAGATTTTCTGCATGAGCTAAAAGCTGAAAGCAGGGAAACAAGCTGACAGGGGTTCTCTGTAGTTTGTAAATGCAAAGGTGCTGATTCTGAGGCTGTGTGCCACCAAAAACCTCTTTTTAAAATTATAAGATCCAAATAAAATGTAGTCTTAGAAAATAAGGGGGTTTGGTTCTTTGTTTTTCACGTATTTTCTACATTGTAAGCTTGTGGGTTTTGAGACTTCAACAAGCTAAATAAGTACAATGAAATGCTAACCCCTTTGGGACAGACAGGGCTGTAGCACGCCCTTCATTGCACTGACAGATTTATGTCTCTTTCATTTGATTCTTCACATTCCTCAGTGACAAAAATGCAATTATGCATTGTTATTTTCATAAAACAAGGATTTCACAGTCCTGAGTTATTCGGCATTATTACATCCCTTTGATCACTGAACTGAAGAAGGAAATCTGTATCTAGACTGCTGTTCATTCAAAACCCTTGGCAAGTGCTGTAAGCCTTTGACTAAACATTTCACAAGACTGTCCTTTCCTAGAGGCCAACAAAGATGCCAACCTCTATTTGCTTCAGAATGCTTACCTAAATCTTGCTGCTATTACTCTGGAGACTTTCCCACTTCTTATTACAGAGGGGCTGTGGGCATTACCTTGGATGGCGGAAAAGGGAGGATCGTCCCCTTTCATAACACATTCTGTATCCCCATTTCTAGTAAATCTGTCCTGCATTAGGTCTTCAGCAGCAGCTCTTTCAACCAAGATATAACATTTCTGTTTATCTCTAGATAACTTTTTATTAGCCGCCCATTTATTTTGCTGTGTCACAGCAAAAGCCAAACCTGACATGAAAGAGAAGATAATCATGTCCCAGTAGCTGAAGTTCCAGTTTCCTTGTGGCAATGACTGTAAATAGAAGGATGGCTAGTGGCTGTTACAGACAGTACCAGAAAGAAAAAAGCAGAGCACAACAACAGCTGCTCTGATGCAACACATGGAAGAGGGAACTTTTGCACAAAAATAAAAGAATATTTTATTTTTAAACATCTAATCCAAATGTAAGGGTATAAAGCCCAATTCAACAAGTGATGTAATCCTCTAGCTTCTTGCTGAAATCTGTGAGAGGAAAAAGCTCACGTGCTTGGGCCTGACAGGCAACCTAGTCCCTAAGGCTGCACAGAAAAAATATTGTACAAAAGGAGCATTCTCTGCTAGGGAAAAACCAATTCTGGCATGCTGTGTTTGTAGCTGACCAGTCCTGCTCAGTCTAGTCTCACTGAAAAGTCCAGAATCCCTCCTACCATGTAGCAGACTGGTATTGGTTCTACAGGTTCTATAGGCCCTCGAGCTCTCCAGAGCCCCTGAGCTTCTCTGGAACTTCACTTGCAAACCCCCAGATTCTCTAATATGACTCCAGCCCTTTTATATCTCTCTCTCCCTGCAGCCACACAAGAGGCAAGTGGTTCGTAAGTCAGTTCCTAGAAACACTCAAACTTCAGTGCAAACCTTAAGCCACTATCAAACAGTATAGAGCAGATGGTTTTGGTGCAGACTGCAGAGAGGAGAAAGAAAAACTAATTCATACATCTCTGGCTGGCAGCAAATAATCTCTATGTTAACCCTAAGTGTCAGTGTAGACATCACTAGGTTTATCTCCACAAAGTGAGAGCCCAGAATATCCACTCTGGCAGAGAGTAATTTTCTTTAGTTTAACACACTCTTGGGAATGGATTCAGTGTGTGGAAGGAAGAGAAGACCAAATGGCACAGCAAGAAAATCCCAGTGAGTTCAAATGTTCGTATCATCTCCATTGCCACTCTAGCCCTTTTGAATGGGTTAGAATATGGAGCTTTCTGCTATCAGCTGGAATGCATCAAAAGAGGTAGGCCACATGCTGCAACTCCATTTTTTCCTGAGTAGAAGAGGATCCTCATTGCTGTGATTGGCTTTGAGAGACGGGGTGAATCTCTCATCTCCTGTGTTACCCTTCCAGTCCAGGGATAAGGAAAGTCCTGGGCTGCCAAAAACAATCATATAAAAGCTGTTTGGAGATAGTCTCCCACATTGGAGATATTCAAGGCCCGCCTGGACAAGTTCCTGTGTGATGTACTCTAGGTTACCCTGCTCTTGCAGGGGGGTTGGACCAGATGATCTCTTGAGGTCCCTTCCAACCCTTGGGATTTTGTGATTCTGTGGTAGAGCCATTTGTTTGCCAGCTGCGGTTCCATGCTGGAGACAAAGATACAGGAGCAGTCTGTGTTGGCTTTCCACAGAAGCTTGAACAAATTTCAAATGTTTCCAGTATTACAGTAAGAGAGAAAGGGAGAGACATTCCCCCATGCCTTAGGCCAGACACTTCCATTCCCAGAAAGGAAGTAATCAGCTTTCTGGTTTCCCTATTCAGCAATGCTTTGTTAATGCAGCATGGACAGATGAAGCAAAATAATGAAAAAAAAATTATCAAAGATAACACTGCCTTTCAAATGAAATTCCTTCAGAAATGCAGATTTTCAGATGCAGTCATTCAAAGTCAGACACGTTACCACCACCTCCTCTCTATACAATCAGTTTGCATGACAGAAGATATCCACCAGCTGATTTTTTCCTATCATTGCCTTCTTATTCACTCACCTTTTTCATAGAAGGAATTTTTTTTTTTTCCCCTGGGTCTAAAATCCACAAAATAGACTCTATGCTCAAAGGAAAACACTGAATACAGTACTTAACAGAAAAGTCTTAAATGGTTGGTATTCTGAACTGGATCCGGGTCACTTTTCTAATGTGTTTCTTCTGTTCTGTCTATAAAGAAGTAGTCCACAACTTACCAAATACAGATCTTTAAAAAATTAATGCTCACAGAAAGCAATAAAAATTATTCTCAGAAATGTTCTCAAAAAGAACTATTCTTATCTTTTGTATTTGATAGCAAATGTCTACAGTAAATAAACAAATCAAATTAAATTGAAGTCTTTCACCTTCAGAGGAGAGCAGACTGTTGACTGCAGCATACTGTATGAAAGACAACAAATGAACCAATACCTATTTAAGCTACACTGACCTCTTGTTCAGATCTTTCCTGGAAGATAATGGCAGGAGAGACAATAAAAGGCTAACACAGTTGATTAGCAATTGCCAAGAAATGTCTGGTCAGTAGGTCATGACAGAGATTTTTTTCCTCTGTCTAGTAATTAAATATCTCTGGCATATTCTTCTGTGACACTAGCTGAGTGTTAACTCCTAGAGTGTTGCAGTACCCAGCTGTCTGGGGAGTTTGGCTTGGCACATAAAGCTAAGAAAATACATGTACATAGAGGATATATTTTCTGACAAAAAGACAATATACTTCCTCACTGGAACACACTCTACAATTCATAAATCGTTCTTATAAAGAGGATTTGAGAACGCTTTTAAAAATGGTGCAGCCTTTATTCCTGTGGGCCATTTAATTATACATAGGTATTGAATGGAGTGAGTGGTCTACTCTCCCAGTAAACTATGCAGGTTAGCATTACTCATTTAAAACAAAAGAAAAATGTAAACATATCTAAAACAAAGGACCATCCTGTATTATGGGGATTTTTCAAAGGCTATTCTATTGATGAGCAGAGTATCTGATGAGCCAGTTAATTTTCTGGTACAAATACCTAAAAAGGAAGCTATATCCTCTAAGATTCTGTCCTAGCAAAGAACTTTAAACACCCCTACCACTGCCAAAGGTGGAGATCTCTGTCTCTTCATCCCACATAGACCATCATCAAGGATGAGTCTGCACAACCTATATGCTTTTCCACTGCAGAACATCAGAAGCATCCTAGTTAACACATAGGAATATAAAAGCACACAACTTTTAAAACAATTCTAACAGGGTTGTAAGAGCTCATCTCTCACATCAGTGCACTAAGAAAAGGCTCAGAGCAGCCCTCCCAATATGTCTCTTTAATGATTATCATTACTACAAAAGACACCATAGTCATAGCATTCCCTATAAAAATTACATTAGGAAGATTAGCTTGGTAAGAGGACAAGTGAGGGAAAGGAGCAGGAGAGGAAGATCTTCTGCTTACACACAGTGCCAAGAACTTCAGCTATTAATTTCAGCCTGTCAACTGAGCTGAAAGTAGCTTAGCACATATACTGAAAACTATGAAGGGAGACATTCCCACAGTGCACTTACATTATTGAAAAGAAATGGGACTTTATCTTCCATACACAGAAGTTGAGGGTATCTGAGGTAATCCAAGAAAGGAAAAAATTTACAGTCTAACCAGAAAGTCTATCCATTACAGCTGTAAAGACTGCATTTTCAGTTTCTAAAATCTGCCCATCCTGTCCTGTTTCTGAAGTGACTACTTGTAGTAGGTGCTTGGAAATAAGGCAGAGATTTATTACTAAAAACAGCTAAACCAAACTGTTAAATGATGAGGCTTTGGCTCCCATTCTGTTCAGCTCTTAGCATCAGACAGATGTACTTGTTTTCTGATCTGGAGGTCTGGAGCTTCTTCAAGATTCATTCACCCTTCAGCTGTGGATCCACAGAGACATCCTACGTAGCGAAATTATCAAAAAGGGTTGAATGCTTTTGAAAATTCTAATACTTAAAACTCTAAAAATATCTTTGTACTTTGGCCTAGTTGCACTATTACACTGTCTGGTGTTTTTTCCACACACTGTGGATCACTCTGTTGTGATCTTATGGAGATTTTCCTCCCATTGTTGATTTGGGCTTTTTTTTCCAGTTTGTCCTAGAAACTACAGACTGAAGCCACTTGAAGCTTGTCACTGTCCCTGTGGTATTCCTCTCTCAGCTAGACATTTTTCAAAGATTGATTTTCCTGTAAATAAATTCTCACTGTGGATTCCAAGACGTATCTTTGGAAAGCCACCACTTCTGATTTGCCATTGCTTAGGTTTCTTCATGAGACACAAAACATAGCCTACTGAAAGGGTTCATATTAATTAATATGCATGGAAATTTCCACTCAGAGATATAGTGACTTGCAAATGGCACAACCCAGGAGCCCTTGCTGCCATTCTACTTCCTCTGTTCTGCTGGGTTTTTTAATGGCTAATGAATTTACATTGAGATTTTATTGTTTTCACACTTACATACATTCCTAATATACAGTTAATCAAATACTGTATTTATAGGCACTTTAAAGGCACAGCTCAAGCCTATCTTATCGTATTCCTGGTGCAGAGTTCATATATACTGCTTAGTTTCAGAAATCCAAAAAACAATGTGTCAGGGTTTTCAGCAATATTACTCCTTTCTATGGAGCAGTCATTGAGAATTCAGACAACACCTTCTTAAGGTAATTGTGGTTCACAACACCAATAATACTTTCCCTAATTCTTTGTCATAAGGAAATTTCCTTTTACACCATACTGTCATATCTATCAATATCAGGTTTCAATGTTATTTTTATAAACATAAGGTCAGCACATGCCAAACAAGTGTCAAAATCAGAATTTAAAGTTGTGGCAGGAACCAGGGTAAGCTCTTTATCTAAATAGAAAAAAAGCAAGCACCAGTTTTTGCACACTTCTGGTGCTCTCTGGTAAGGTAGTAAACAGGAAAATAGTCTGTTTTCAGACAGGCTTTACTGTCCTCTCAGCCTTTATGTGAGGGACAGCACCTGGATGCTAAAACCCATGGAGACCTTATAGCAACTGGGTGATATTTTAATACATTCCAGTGAAATTTAGCACTTAACAAAAAGTACTCGCTCCATCAGTGAAACCTTCCCAGTAGACTAGTAAATAATATTATACTGATGAATATGAAGAAAGTAAGGTAGAAAGATTACAGTATCACAGTATCACAGTATGTTAGAGATTGGAAGGGACCTCAAAAGATCATCTAGTCCAATCCCCCTGCCGGAGCAGGAACACCTAGATAAGGTTACACAGGAACGTGTCCAGGCGGGTTTTGAATGTCTCCAAACAAGGAGATTCCACAACCTCCCTGGGCAGCCTGTTCCAGTGTTCCGTCACCCTCACTGAGAAGAAGTTTCTTCTCAGGTTTAAGTGGAACCTCTTGTGCTCCAATTTGTACCCATTACCCCTTGTCCTTTCATTGTTTGCCACTGAGAAGAGCCTGGCTCCATCCTGCTGCATTAACAAAGATTAGACACAGAAGTTCCAATAGTGGCTTCTGAGAACCAGGCTGGAGGGCAATCTTACATGTTCAGGATTTAACCCTCAAAACATGGCTGCTATTTTCCCCCCTTACAGGAACTTGCCTGTGATTGTTCAGTATTTATGACAACCAGATGGAGAAATGCAACAAGCAAATTAAGGGCTGAAAAGGAAAGGTTATAAATGG